GGGCCACTATGGGAGCCTTCTGGATGGTTGTTGACGCCGTTCAGAGCATTGCACCCTGCTGAGGGGGGCGGCGGGTCCCCCTCCCCCCGTTCCGTTGTGACTGGCGCGGAGGAGGAGAGCCCAGGAAGGGATCGCCAGGGGGGGATGGTCTTCTGGGTCGGGACCCCCCCCCACCGACCCCCCCCCCCCTGCGGGGAAGGGATCAAAGGGAAGGGGCTTCCCCTCGGCTCAACTACGACGTTGTTCAATGTCGTTGTGACTGGCGCGGAGGAGGAGAGCCCAGGAAGGGATCGCCAGGGGGGGATGGTCTTCTGGGTCGGGACCCCCCCCCACCGACCCCCCCCCCCCTGCGGGGAAGGGATCAAAGGGAAGGGGCTTCCCCTCGGCTCAACTACGACGTTGTTCAATGTCGTTGTGACTGGCGCGCTTGAGGAGGAGAGCCCAGGGAGGGCCCAGGGAAAGGAAAGGAGCGGCGACGGTTGGAGCGATCGTTCGGCGATTCGGGGCTTTCGAAGACGAAGGCGACGAACGTTTAAGAGCGTCCTCCACACGCCGACAGGGTCGGCGAATCTCATTGCTGTCAGGAGCCCAAAGAGAAGGGTGAGGTCCGCACGGATGACATTGCTGAAGTGGCTCGCCACCCCCTTCTGACCTCGAGTTGGCGCGTTTCTTCTGTCCTCTGGACCATTAGTGCGACGCCCACGTAATCGGCGCCTGCGGTCAAGATTTCTGTGGCACGTGACGCCTGCCTGAGATGAATGTATTTGCAGTCTGCGGATCGTCCCCCCATGGCCATCGAAGAAAAGAGAACAGCAGGAGGACGAGGCTGCGGATGAACAGGAGGATTAGCGGAAGGACGAACGGCAGAAAGATGTTGATGTGGAATGAAGCTGATGGCGATGATGATGAGGAAACGCAGGATCAGCAACACCAGCAGAGCAGGAGGAGCAGGAAGACTAGCGGAGGCAGAGGAGGGGAGAGGAAGGGAACATCAGCGGGTGACCCGCGTTGAGGCGAGAACGGTGGATCTTGAAGTTTGGCTGAAGAGTGGAATATCATTGTTGAAGGGCCGATAAGATTCCGATCGGGGAGAAACGCGGCAAATCCACATACATGAAATCCTCCGCGTGGGAAAAGAAAATGCGGAAGAAACGGAGCAAACTTGGACAGTCTTAGGTGAGAGACATTCGAGCGTTGCGCATTGGGGGCGGTAAATGGGGGGGGGGGCGAAGAAAGCTGCGTCTCTCGTGACCCAAATGGGGCCCTGTCAAAGCCCCCCCTCCCCCCCCGGGCCCCGCAGGGGCACGAGCGGAGGCCGGCGGCCCAGGGAAGCGGGAAGGGCGAGAGGAGCGAGGAGGGACGAACGACGGCCGGAGGGGCCATGGCAGGCACACGTCAGGAGCCTCGAGACGGGGGTCAATGCAAACGGGGGTCATCCAGAGCGCACGATCTTGCAAAATCCTGCAGGGCCAGGGTCGCATTGACCCTGGCTTGGGCGCAGGATCTTGCAGGATCCTTCGCGTTGACCCGGGTTTGGGTGCAGGATCTTGCAGGATCGCGCAGGATTTTGCGAGGCCTGACTGACCCGGGTCTGGATTGACCCGGGTCAGAAGATCCCCGAACACGCGTGCAGGTGCACAGGAGAGCGTGCACATCAGCACCACTGCGCGCCACCAGTGCTCTCAGAGAGCTCGCAGCGTCGTTCAAGAGAAGTCCAGAGGAGGCAACGCACATACAACAGCTTTCACACGCCAGCATTTCAACGAACGCAACAGTGGACCGCCCTGCAGGGGCAGCACTGCAAGAAAAAGAGAGGAGGGGTGGGGGCAAGACGGCGCCATTACTTGGCCGCCTCGATCACCCTCTGACCTTCGAGCTCCAGATGGCCAGGCGGCCTCGGGCCCGCGAAAGCCTGCTTGCGCCCGTGGGCCTCGATGACCTGCGCAATCGCCCTCTCGAAGACCTGATCATACACACACACACACCAGTGATGAGACGACTCCTTCTGGCTGTCGAACATATCCTCAGTACGAAAGACGCCCACAAGCTTAAATTCTTCGGGGTACGTATTGAGCGGGGCCTTCATGGGGCTCAGCACACGACTCCACAAGGGTGATCATTGCAGCCATCATCTGAAACGTGTCGGGATAGCCCAAGCCGTGGCCTGTCCCTCCGAAGGTACTCCTTTGCGTGCGCCTTAGCCATGGCAAGATACAATGCACCCTTCGTCGCCAATTCAATCTGCGTCGCGCACGCGGCCGCAAGCAACCGAATATTTGTTTGAAGATTTCTTGAGAGCAAGAGACGGTTTCTTCTTATCTTCCGTTGACACCACTGCCCGATGCTTGACACCTTTCCCCTGTGGCGCCGCCGTCGGGTCGCTCGGGTCCGCACTAGAGAACTGATCTCCCCAGGATACCATCGCGCGAGAGGCACAACACGGACAGGGAGTGGACCACCAAGAGATTTCGCGCCCACACATTCACATATAATCAAGTACAACTAGATCGGCGGTAGATGTCCAAACATATGCGCCTTGGCAGTAACATACGTGGGGAACTCCATGCCACATGATTCACACTTATCAGGGGGGTCAACCACATGCGAGTGAACCGTCACAGACCCCCGACTCGGGCATCCCCCTCCGGATACTCTGTTCAAGATGTTCCGACGCATAGATCTTAAAAGTATAGAAGTTGCCGCACCTAATGCATTCGTTAAACACAGTGATCATGTTAGCAAGGCACTAATTGTTCGTGTCCCTCGGCCTGGGAGCTAGTCTGGTGCAGTACTCAGTTGGCGCTTTGTGTCGGAGCCTACTCAGAGGCCACTGACCTTTCACGCGTCGGAGCAATATAAGTTGTTTCGGGCACTTGGGGAGGCAGGGCAGTGTCCCCTTGTTGACTTTCACCGCCTCCTCCTCCTTCTCCTCCTTCTTGCTTCTCATCCTGCATACCTCCTCCCGCATCTTGTGTTGCCGTCTCCAAACCTTCCCGGCCGTTGACCTCCACGATCTCCTGTTCCTCCTCCGCCAGTGCATTTCCCCAATAGATATGAGTAAACGATCTCGGTCCTCCCTTCATCTTCTTGAGCGTCATTATAGATATACCCAGTACTGCGTCCCGTAGCCCCCCATCACAAACAAAGAAATTGGCCTGCGAACAAGCGTCGGCCGTACTTCAGGCATGGAGAGCCGTTCTACAAAGACGAATAGATCACGTAACAGCTGGCTCCACCAAGGATGCGCTGCACTCGCATCTGGTCTCGACAGGGCATTGTCATATTCGTCTCACCGGTTATATCTGTCCCAGCCGCTTGCCCCGAACATAGGCGCAATGATCAGCACGTGCCCCTCTGGGTACCTGATGATCTCCTGCCACTGGCTGACCCTCCGGGCGCGCAAAGTATTGAAGGGTGTCTGAAGTTTCATCATTCCGCGGACATCAGTATTGGGCAGCGCAGCATACCGTTTCGATTTTTTCCTCCGTTGCTTCAACATTCAGACAGCTTCTATTTTGCAAAGTTCTCCTCGCTAAGCTCGCTTGCATACACTCCAATCTTTGTTGGTCCGCCTCGGCGAGCGGATACGCAACAACTTCAGACAATAATGTTGCCTCGTACATACTCTTGTATACTACACTCCTCCATTTCTCATGCTTTACTCCCACCCCTCATATACTTCCAAGAACACTCAAGACGTGCGTAGCCCTTCGTACACCAAACTCGATCTCGGGCTTGACACCAACTTGAAAATGCAGCTGGCCTACTAGATATCTTGCAACTCTGTGCACAGAACCTCTCATCATGACATTATCCTGATACAGCTTCCTCGTACCGTACTGCGGCCTTTTTCTTTCCAGTCGTATCAGTGAAACGTGTTTGTCTCTGGTTAGTGCTACTCCCTCCGTGTACAGCTCCGAATCCAGGTGCAAACATTGGGCGTTGGTTCTGGCTTTACGCTGGGCCACGTCGGCGCAGCGTTCGTACGAGCGATCTCATCAGAGAAACTCGTAACAGAAATGTCAAAGAACTCCCTCGCAATGACATTCAAACACTACCTGGCCTCTTCCGACGACGTGATACAATACCTCATCCATTTTACAGACACACACATACCTTCTGTGTCCGAATCCCTAAACTTATGTACAGGTATGTTATACGCTCCCAGGAACTACAAACACGCAACCGTATCTCCTTGTAAAGTTCTTTGCCCTATGCCCACTGTCAGGTCTCTCTGCGCAAACAGTCTGGGCCCTGATAGCTTCCTCCCTCCGCCGTCCCTTCAAATGTCCATATGCCAACGGTCGGTCAGCGTGTGCCGTGAGATCTGGATTCGAACTCCATAGGTACGAGTAGTACTCTCTGCCTAGAGCGTCTAGTGAGTGCACAAGCCGCTGCCCTCTGCACTCGCTCTTACCATTCAGCTTATCCAGCGAAAAAGCCTGACTCTGATGCCACTGCAGCGGTACCTCCTGGTGACATCTTATCGTCGTGCACAGCCATTCCAAATATTCAGTAACATTCGGGAGGTAATCGGCAATAGTCATCAGTGTTTTCGTATTGTTCCAGACTCTCACTTCTAGAATATGTGTAGTCATTGGGGCACATAGCCTCCGAATACCCGCAGGGATGCTCCACATCGGTGGGGTCCTCCTAGACCTAGATGTGCGTATCATTCTCCCAACATCTAGAACATCTTCCTGCCCCTGCTTGAGGAGGAGCAGGAGGAGGAGGAGGAGGAGGAGAATGAGGATGAGGAGGAGGAGGAGGAGGAGGAGGAGGAAGAGGAGGAGGAGGAAGGGGAGGAGGAGGAGGAGGAGGAGGAGGAGGAGGAGGAGGAGGAGGAGGGAAAGGAGAAGGAGAAAGAAGAGGAGGAGGAGGAGGCGGAGGAGGAGGAGGAGGAGGAGGCGCAGGAGACGGAAGGAGAGGAAGAGCAGTAGCCACAGCGTGCAACCGTAAGAGGGAAGGGCGCCGTGCGCGGGGGGCGCTCGCGGAGGGCAGGCGGCGCCGACGTCGGCGCCGGCGCCAGGCGCTGCCTCCAGCCCCGCTCTCAGCGGCACCCGCCACAGGGCCGCGCGTCCTCGACAAGCGACGGCAGAATCGACGCCGCACGCAGCGGCCGCCAGGCCCCGGCACTCCTGGTAGTTCCTGATGCCCCACCTCGCGTCCTCGAGGTTCTGGTGCTCGGCGGCGAGCGAGGGCGTGAGAAGGAGGATACCGTTTCGGGTTCGATGTTCGGGTTGTTCGGACGTTGCCGCCAGTTCGCGGCGGCTTCCCAGCCTCGGGGTACGTTCTAGCGGCTGCGCCTCGCCGAGAGCGTTCCAGGGGTGCACGGCCGCCAGAGGCCCGAGTTCTGACCCAAGAGAATCAAGTTCAGCGGCGCGCCTGAGGGGGAAGTGAGAAGGACGAGGCCTTCTCAGCAGGCGGGGGGGGCTTCGCAGAAGCCCCTTGGCCTGCTGAGAAGTTTTCCGTGTCCTCGGGGAAGGCTTAGAAAATGATTCAGAAGGTTGGAGGATTTCTGAGCTTTTGCCCCCTCCCACTTCCTCTCAAGGCGCCCCGCTCTCAGAGGGTCCCGCCCCAAGGCACGATGGCACTCTCAAGGCAGCCGGTCTCCGGTAGCAAAGCATGGGAGCATTGTATACCCTCAATTCCGCCTTGGGTGCATTAGCGTCGATGAGCGTGAGGTAATCAATGATGAGATAGTGCCGATTTAGCGTCGGCTTGGGTCGATTTAGTGTCGATTAGCGCCGATTCGCAAGAGCCAACAAGATGGTTTTGAAGGCTCCCTGAAGTTGCTACATAACTCTCAAAGCAGTCGGTCCCTCTGTCGACCAAAGCGCTGGCACACCCGACAGGTGTCGGTTTGGCGCTGGCATCTTGGCCCACCCCTGCCTCAGTCTTGATCTCGACTTCGGCCTGCTGGCCTGGCCGGCGCGGGTCGGGCTGACGTGCTTGCTCGCTCATGTGCCGTGCTGCTCACGTCGACGGAGACACATTTGCATAAACATAAACGTGTGAATATCCTCGCGGATTTCGTGGATCTGCGCTGGACCTTCCTTGGCGCGCGGAGCCGCCAGGGGCCCCCAGCGCAGATTCAAGAAATCCGAGGCGGAGCTCCAACAGGTTCTATTTATGCTGGTTTTCCGTCCTCTATTGATACTGATTGTTGAGCGCAGCATGTGTGAAATGATAACGCAGGTGTCCTAAAGTGAGCTCATTGAGAACAGACATCTCATGTGGAAGAGGAGGAGGTCTGGGGCCCTCAAGTTGGCCAGTCGGTGTTTTAGCGCCCGACGCCGCCTCGCGAGAAGGAGGAGGAGGAGGAGGGATGAGGAGGGATGAGGATAAGGAGGAGGAGGAGGAGGAGGAGGAGGAGGAGGAGGAGGAGGAGACCTCGATCCTTCCATCCCGCCCACCCTCCTGCCTCGCCTCCTCCCTCTTTTTTCTCCCCAGCTCTCTTCACCCCTCCGCCCTACGACGAAGCGAGGACGAGCGAAAACGGAGAGGTGGAGGGAGGGGGGTCGACTGAAGGGCCTCAGACCTCCTCCTCCCCCCCGGTCCTCCTCCCGAGTCCTTCCTGCTCTTCCTCCTGCTCCTCCTGCTCCTTCTCCTCCTCCTCTTCCTCCTCGTCCTCCTCCTCCTCCCCCTGCTCCTCTCCTTCCTCCTCCTACATTATTTTCTCTTATAAGTCATTTCTTCCTGTCGCACCCCGAGGCCAGTTTTTAGGGCGGGCCGGGCGTGTCGCCAGAGACTTCCTCATCATTTATGACCCTGAAGCTTTTAAACATGACAATAGTTTCACGGATTGAGGGCGGGCCGTTTTCAAAATGCAGTTCTCGCCTTGACGCCGCGCACATTCGTTTTGAACATTTGCAAGAGCTTCACGGATTGAGGGCGGGCCGTTTTCAAAAATGTGGTTCTCGCCCTAGCGCCGCGCGCACTCGTTTTAAACATTTGCAAGAGTTTTGCGGATTGAGAGCGGGTCGTTTTCAAAATGCCTTAGCGCCGCGCACATTCGGTTTAAACATTCACAAGCGTTTCAAGGATTGAGGGCGGATCGTTTTCAAAATGTGGTTCTCGTTTTAGCGCCGCGCAAATTAGTTTCAAACATTTGCAAGAGCTTCACGGATTGAGGGCGGGTCGTTTTTAAAATGTGGTTCTCGTTTTAGCGCCGCGCACATTAGTTCTAATATTGTGCAAGAGTTTCACGAATTTCCACGATCAGCGAACCACACAGTGTTGGAAGGGTTCAGGGTTATGAGGGTGCAACCGTTACGCTGATTCGTTGTGTTGAAACCTCAGGATGTGTGTGCTGGCACGATTCAAGATCGTCAAGGCGCTACAGTCAGGTTGAGCCGTGGCGTTGTAATCCCGAGAACATTGTTTTGGCATGCTTCAGGGTCTTCAAACGGTTGCCTTCCAACAAGGCAGTTCCCTCAGTGGAAATGAACCGTTGTAGGGGCTTATGAAGAGGGATGTGGGAGGGAGGGTTTAGTCCAACATCGTTGATGATTCTTAGGTTTCCACTGGTCCTAACGAGTCCCCCTGTCCCTACTCCTACTTCTACTCCTGCTACTTTTACTCCTGCTCCTACTCCTACTCCTCCCCCCTCCAACGCGGTGTGCTGGTTTGGGCAAGAAGGTGTATGCGCGATTGTTGGAAGCTGACCTGGAAGCGGTGGGCACGTACATGCGAGCCCGTTTTCGACAGCGAGGGTTGGAAGTGAACGCTGACGCCGCAGCGCCACAGATGGAAACTCCTCCAGTGGCTTTTCAATGCAGTTTCTACTTCACGCCGGATGCGGTTTGGGAACGGCAGTGCCGTTACGACGTGCAAGTTGTGCCACACAGCTGAGGACAACATCGAGCATCTCGCGGAGTGTGGCGTCACGACCGTGGTTTACGACACCGTTTGGGTCCGCACAGGCCTCATGGACGAATGGCACAAGGAGTACGCGTTCTTGGGTGTGCCATTGAACGGCGCTCAGCTTCAGATAGTCTTAGCAGTTTTATTTGCGATCGGTCGGGCTTGCAATATGATCTGGAAGGGACGTGTTTTCAATGACCAGCGCGATTTGCACCGCCACATCGCCGCTCTTGTGGAGCACCCGTGGCTCACAGGCACTGAGGATACCAGTACGCGCGGCGACCGACGAGCAGCACGCGTTCGCATTCCCCCTCCCGATGTGGCCGGAGTGGTCTACCGCTCGGACGGCGCTGCCCGCGGTCAGGGCCGCGGGCAGGACGCATCTTGCAGCTATGGGGCAGCTTGGTTGGAAAGGGGCGCAGTCGTCGGGCATGCATCTCGTCCACTTCCGTCCAGTAGCAGCAACGTATCCGAGTACGAAGGGCTCCTCAGGTGCCTTCGAGACGCCGTTGCGCGTCGAGCCCGCCACACGTGCTTCCAAGTGGAATTCCATGCTAGTGGCACGGCAGTGCTCCATGGAATGGCGGCGCAGGTGTCAAGAACTTTTCCCTCTGTGGGAACGGGCAGTTGCTCTTCTGAGACTCTTGCGACGGGACGGCGGGGCAGCTGAGGTGATGCACATTTTGCGGGAGTTCAACGTTTTAGCCGATTCGCTAGCGAACGAGGCTTTGAACCTCGGGGCTGGCATCTCGAACAACTGGTCGGATTAATCGGCGGCGTCGCAGTTATATACATTACGGAGTTGTCGCGCGCCCTGGCTGCCATTTTCTTTTGTGCGCTTCCTCCCTCGTGTCTTCGTCGTCGTCCTCCTCCTCCCCCTCTCCGCCCCCGGTTTATCAGGACGTCCGGCTTGTCAGCGAAGATCTGTCAGTTACGGAGTTGTACACATTTGGCTCGTGGCCGCCCGCACGCGTGCGCCTTTCAGCGCACGGGGCGGCAGATCCCTGGACTTTGGCAGAGCTAGCGGTGCAACGGACCGCACGAGACCAGAGGATTTATTAAGCGGCACGGTGACGGAGATGTTCGAAACTGATTTCTGGAGAATCAGAGGCAGCAGCGTGGAATGGGGATTCCCCGCTGCAACGTCCTGGCGGCGAACCGCGGGTCACGCCCAGAGGCCGCGAGGAGGACATCCACCTCCATCCTCCTTGACGTCCACCACCTCATCCTCCTCAGTCCTCCGCAACAAGCACCTGCTCGTGCACCTTCTCAAGCAGCACCACCCTGGCATCCCCCTCCCCATCGTCCTCCTCCTCCTGGCCATCCTAGTCCTCCTCCTCATCCTCATCCTCTTCCTCGCCCTGCTGCTGCTCCTCCTCCTCCTTCTCCCTTACCTCCTCCTCGTCCTCCTCCCCCTCCTCCTCCACCTGCTCCTGCACCAGATCATGGATATGATGCGGCAGGCTGCATGAATAAGACGGCGCCAATGCATCTACATCCGCGTGCAGCTTGCGCGCGGGTGAACGCGCAATCCGGACCGCTTCTGTCAAAGCCTCGTCTCCCCCCCTCGGGGGCGGTTAACCCACCCATCCCGCTAGCAGACCGTGGAGGCCTTGGATAAGGAATCCAGGGTCTGGAGCCTTGTGGAGATCCACTTGCGTGGAACGGGGGGGGGCAGAAGTTGTCCGCCCCCAATCATTGTGAGCTCTCTACCCTCCCTCCGTCTCCTCTCCCCCACTACTTCCTCTTCCCTCCCGCCTCCCTTCTCCCTCCACCCTGCCTCCCACCTCCCTCCCACCCATCCTCCGCCTCAGATCCCATGGATGAGGACGGCAGGTGAGCGGTGCGGTTGCAGTTGCGCGCCCGCGGGCGGGTTGAAATTTGTCGCCCAGCTGCAGTTGCGGTTGCGCGCCCGCGGCCGGGTTGAAATGCGTCGCCCAGTTGCGGTTGCGCGCCCGCGGGCGGTGTGAAATGCGTCGCCCAGTTGCGGTTGTTGTTGCACGCCCGCGGGCGGGTCGAAATGTGTCGCCCAGTTGCGGTTGTTGTTGCGCGCCCGCGGGCGGGTCGAAATGTGTCGCGTAGTTGCCTTTTTGCGCGCCCGCGGGCGGATTGAAATGTGTCGCCCAGGTGCGGTTGCGGTTGCGCGCCCGCGGGCGGGTTGAAATGTGGCGCCCGCGGGCGGTTTGAAATGTGTCGCTCAGGTGCGGTTGCGGTTGCCTTTTGCGCGCCCGCGGGCGGATTGAAATGTGTCGCCCAATTGCGGTTGCGGTTGCGCGCCCGCATGTGTCGCCCAGTTGCGGTTGTGCGCGCCCGCGGGCGGGTCGAAATGTGTCGCGTAGTTGTGGTTGCGGTTGCGCGCCCGCGGGCGGGTTGAAATGTGTCGCCTAGTTGCGGTTGCGCGCCAGCGGGCGGGTCGAAATGTGTCGCCCAGGTTCGGTTGCGGTTGCGCGCCCGCGGGCGGTTTGAATTGTGTCGCCCAAATGCGGTTGTTGTTGCGCGCCAGCGGGCGGTTTGAAATGTGGCGCCCAGTTGCGGTTGCGGTTGCGCACCCGCGGGCGGATTTAAATGTGTCGCCCAGTTGGGCTTGCGCGCCCGCGGGCGGCCTGACATGTGTCGTTCAGGTGCGGTTGCGGTTGCGCGCCAGCGGGCGGTTTGAAATGTGTCACCCAGGTGCGGTTGTGTTTGCACGCCCACGGGCGGGTCACAATGTGTCGCCCAGCTGCGGTTGCGGTTGCGCGCCCGCGGGCGGGTTGAAATGTGTCGCCCAGTTGCGGTCGCGCGCCCGCGGGCGGTTTGAAATGTGTCGCCCAGGTGCGGTTGCGGTTGCGCGCCCGCGGGCGGGTTGAAATGTGTCGCCCAGTTGCGGTTGCGGTAGCGCGCCCGCGGACGGGTCGAAGTGCGACTCAGTTGCGGTTGCGCGCCCGCGGGCGGTTTGAAATGTGTTGTTCAAGGCGCCGTCCGGACGTTCGGTCAGTCAGTCAGTCAGTCAATGAGTCAGTCAATCAATCAGTCACCAGCGGGCGCGGAATTTCACCTGGCTCCGCCGGGAAAAAAGAAAAAACATATACTCCCCCCTCCTCCTACAGCCCCTCCCCTGCTGCTGCTGCTGCTGCTGCTGCTGCTGCTGCTCCTGTTCCTCCTCCTCCTCTTCCTCCTCCTCCTCCTCCTCCCCCTCCTCCTCCTCCTCCTCATCATCATCATCATCATCATCATCATCATCATCCTTTTCGCGATGTGGCGTCGCGCGCCCAAACACCGACTGGCCGACCTGAAGGACCCCAGACCTCTTCCTCCTCCTCCTCTTCCGTAGCCCCCTTCCTCCTTTTCCTCCTCCTCCTCTTCCTCCACATGATATGTCGGTTCTCATTGAGTTCACCTTAGGACACTTGCGCTATCATCCAACCGATGTGCTGCAGGGTGGGGGGGGCAGCGATAAAGGATGCTGCGCTCAACGGTTGGTGTTAATAGAGGACGAAAGAATGACACAAAACATAAACTTCTTGAGTTCCGCGCGGACTTCTTGGATCGGCGCTGGCTCCTTTAGCGGTGCCCTGGGCGCTCTCCGCGCGCCAGAGGGGGGAGGGTCCAGCGCAGATCCAGGAAATCCGCGCGGAGCTCCAACAGCTTAATTATGCTTATGCCGCTGTTTCTTCACCTAGTGGAGGGAGGGTTTCTCATGGTGATCGATCCACCCGTCCAGTTGTGCAGGATTTCGGGGCACACCGACAAGGGCAAGCAACCATGAAGATGCATCATGTGGCGTCCGCATATTTGATTTGATCACGACAGGCTGCTTCGGCAAGGTATCATTGCACAGTACCGCTCGCGTCCATGCGCCCGCCGTGTCGTCTGACTCATCGATCCCGCTCGCTTGCTCGACACTGCAGTCGGCCCTCTCAGGCCGCCCACCCATCTGGACCACGCAATCCTCCTGCGTTTCTTCCTTGGCCCATGGGCTCACCTCCCCTCCGTGCTCTCCCCTCCCTTCCCGATGACCCCCCCTTCCTCTCCCCTTCACAGCTACACAGTATGCAAGGGCGCCCTCGAGGGCGCGAAGTTACTCATAGTTACTCGCTCTTCGCGGTTCGGCTCCGATTCCTCCTCATTCTCCTCTTCTCCCTTGGGAGTCGGCGCGAGAGCGCGAAGTTATTCGCACTTCGCGCTTCGCGCAGCGCGAAGCGCGAAGTTGGGAGCCCTTGGTATGAATGCGACTCGCCTCCCTCTCTCCCCCAAGAGGGCCCGAGAGTGGCGCGCCCCCCTCCGTGTCTTGTCGTTAACACAGGGCTGGTCCGAGCTGTCTTTCCACGTGCGTCTCTTCAGCCCGAAGGTTTTCGGTCCTTCCAGATTGGCGTCTCGCTGCAGCGTGGGCCTCATTTTCAATTCCGCGCCTTGCCCTCCTCGATCAGAATGGCGCTTTGGCCCCAGCGCTGTCCACTTTTTTAGATCCGAGTGCTTCCTCATCGTTGTCGCCCCGCTCCTTTTCCCCCCCTCCCCCTTCCCCTGACACTCCTGCTCCTCCTTCTGCTGTTCCTCCTCGTCCTTCTCATTCCTGATCCTCCTCTTCCTTCTGCTCATCCGCCACTTCCTCCTCCAGTGTATGCAGCTCCCCTCTTCCGACTGCGCATAACCCGATGGGCTCCTTTTGGGGGGGTGCCAGGTCCGCTATGACACGCGTCGGCGGACAGAGAACACGTCAGCGCAACGGGAAGGGATGGGCGAGAGGGGCAGGATGTCAGCTCTGGCGCGAACGCACCTGGCTTGCCAGACCCCCCAGACTCCCCCCATCCCCCATCCCGTGCCCCAGACTCCCCCATCCAACCAGCCCCCAGACTCCCCCATTCCATCTCCAATCACCCACTCTCCCCCCCACCATCCCCAGACTCCCCTCCCTAGAACCAGACATCCGGCCGCTCCAATTTTTTCGATGCGTGGGCCCCCGAGGTCTGGACCACTTCCCTAGGGCCGGTTTTTCGTCCTGAGCCGTTCCCTGACGGTCTCCAGGCTTGGCGAGGGCGCCCATGAGCCCGCAAACGACCAAAAGCCGTCCGTTCCAACTGTTGTTAGAACCTCGGATCTCTCCCCACATGCCTCCCCCCCGAGGTTTCCCGAGCTGGTTCCCATGGCTGCCCGAATGGCTGGGGCTCTTCCTGCTGGCAGTGGCCGCTGGAGCCCTGGTGGCCGCCCTGCGCGGCACACCTCTCTGGACGTGGCCTCCACAGGCCCGCCCGGTGCGTTTCGTTCGGTCAGCCGGTTGCGCGAGGGGGGGGGAGGATGGAGTGGGGGAGAGAGGGAGGGAGGGAGGGGAGGGAAGGGGAGGGGAGTGGAGGCAAGCTAGGTGCGCTCGCGTCATATCTGACATCCTACCCCTCCCTCCCATCCCTTACCATGGCGTAGATCCCCTCTCTACTCGCACAGTCGGATGTCGAGCAGGGCAATGATCCCGAAAAGGTACGCGATGCATTGTAGAGCACGGCATGGCATGGCGTAGAAGAGCACCGCAAAGCGTAGTATGTCACAGCATGGCGTGGCGTGGCGTAGTGAAGAATTGCATCAGAAAGCTTTGCAACGCAAAGCATGGCATCGCACAGCGGCCCCGAACATAACATTGCATAGCATGGCGTTGAAGATCAAAGCGTAGCATGGCATAGCACGACGTGGCACTTAGCACTGCATATCACAGCTTCAGCTGAAGGCATGGCATCGCGCAGCGGAACGCAACCTAGCATTGCATTGCATGCCGTGGCATGGCACGGGAAATGACGCCAGCGCTGCAGCGGGAGCACGATTCGGAACGAGCGGAAGCGCGGAAATGAGGCCAGCGCTGCAGCGGGAGCACGATTCGGAACGAGCGGAAGCACGGAAATGAGGCCAGCGCTGCAGCGGGAGCACGATTCGGAACGAGCGGGGCCCGAAAATGAGGCCGGCGCCTCAGCGAGAGCAGCATTTTGAAAAAAAGCAGGCGAAAACCCAACTCCGGGGAATCTTGTATGTAAAAAAACAGTACGCGGGGAGGGGGGGGGGGCGAACACTCCCAACCCGTCATCAGGGGAAGGAGGAGAGTAGTACTCATATTGAGTAATTGAGGAGGAGGGGGGGAGGGGGGGGGGGCGGGGGGGGAAGGGGAGGGAGGGGGGGAAGGGGAGGGGAGGGGGGGAAGGGAGGAAGGGGAGGGAAGGGAAGGGGAGGAGGGGGGAGGAGGGGGGAGGGAGGAAGGAGGAGGAGGAGGAGGAGGAGGAGGAGGAGGAGGAGGAGGAGGAGGAGGAGGGAGGAGGAGGAGGAGGAGGAGGAGGAGGAAGGAAGGAGGAGGAGGAGGAGGAGGAGGAGGAGGAGGAGGAGGAGGAGAGGGAGAGGGAGAGGGAGTCGGAGGAGGAGGAGGAGGAGGAGGAGGAGCAGGAGGAGGAGGCGTCGCCTTAGACGTCCGTCCCGACCAACCGCAGCCTGCCGATCTTTGTCCCCCCAGTTATTCTGCGGACGCCGGCCGGGACCCGCTGCGCCTACGCGCGGCAGCCGTGGTCAACACATCAGATCGGCACCTCTGGCTGTCCTTCTTGTCTGCTGCGGGGGCCGGCGCAAGCGGCAATCCCCTCGCGCACGAGCTCTCGACTTTCCTGGGCTTTTTCCGCTTGTCGGAGTCCGCTGACTTCCCCTGGGGATGGATGCGATTGGCGCCTCCAGCGCGACGGGCGGCGGCCCGTGAGGCGCTCCGCTGGGGCGATCAGACAGCGCGCGACCTCCCCCTTACTGCGCCCGATCGTGCCGACTAGTTCTCTCTCGCTGAGGTCCGACTCCCCGGGAAAGAATTCCACTGCTGGGATATCCTCAGGCAGCACGCGGCGGACGTGGCGGAGTACGACCGGCGCTTCCCCGTTCCTCTGCGCCCGTCGCAGGCGCGCCAGCTGCGGCGGTCGGTCCCCCGCCAGTGCTGGGGCCCGCGGCCCCCGCGGGGGACGCGGATCCCCCTGCGACTGCTCCACCGCATCCCGGTGGCGGCCTTGCGGCTGCCTCCCCAGGTCCAGCCGCGGCCACGGTTCTGGCGCCTACCCAGCGGCGCATGCGTTTTGACGATTCTGCGAGGGGCATTCCCTGGAACAGGGCGGCACCCCAGAGCCCTGGCAGCAAGGCCACGCCCCCGGCGGCCCCTTCGGCCCCTCTTGCGGAGCGCACCATCCGTGTCTGGGCTCCCCCCCCGCTTGGCGACTCCCCAGTTCAGGGCTGGCGCTGCGGCCTCGTCTCCGCAGGCCCGCGCGGCGGCGATTCCTGCGCCGCTGCCGGGGCCTCCACATGCCGCGGGGCTGGATGCCGTCGCCCCCGCCGTGTGCTCCCTGACGGCCATACCCCCGGCTTTCCCCGACTCCGATGACGCTCAGGCGTCTTCCACGCCCCCAGCATCTCTTCGGCTGGCTGCAGTCGGCGCAGGGGCAGTGCCGGGCGCAGCGACCACTGCCAGCCCGTGCGATTTCGGCACCGCCACAGCCCCGGCCGCAACGGCGGCGCCAGCTCCGGCTGCACTCAGGGCGCCAGTTGCCCCGCCACCGACCGATTCTCCGCACTCCGTCCCTGCGACCCCGCGCCCCGCTGCTGCAGCCAGCTACGCTCCTGGGCGCGTAGGGCCGCTGCCCCCGCTGCCTGGGGCGGATCCCGCCGCTCCCTCACCGACCCTGTCTGCGGCAGCGGCGGCGCCATACTCCAGGTCGCGCTGCTTCCCCCGCAACGGCGGCTGGCGTGGCCGCGCCCAGAGCCGCCCAGGCTGGTCCGCCCCTTGGCCCTGACGGACCGCGTGGGCGGCTGCCCGTCCAGGTCGGTTCCAGCCGCACGTCGGCCGCTTCTTCCCGTTCCCCGCGAGGGGTGGGGCGCGTGGCTCCCGCTCCTGCGGTTCCTCAGCGGGCGGGCGGGCCCGGGGCCTGCGTGCCTTCCCCTGGGACCGCTGCTGCCGCCCGGGCAGCCTCGCCTGCGCTTGCGCCGCCCCCCCCCCCGCCGCTCCGCGGGCGCCGCTCCCTGCGGCCCTCCCTGCCTCGCGATTATATGGGGCCGCCACCGTGGTGCGCCCGCCCCTTCGGCCATCCGCCTCTCCCAGGCTGGCGCTCACCGGTCAAGCGGGCGCAGCCATCGTGCGCCGCCCCCCGCGGTCACTTTCTCCGCCCCGCATCGACCCCGCCCAGGCGCGCGCCATCATCGTGCGCTATCTTGGCGAGAGTCCTGAGCTGGCTTCTTCGTTCCGTCGGTGGCCCCAACGCGGTCCCTGACGTCCAGGCCCGGGCCGCATACATCCCTTTGATGGACGTCGCCACCGACCTCCTCTGTCAGTGGGGCGCCGATCACCTCCCGTGGCTCGGCCTCGCCCAGCCCGCTGTCCCGCCGCAGGCCCCAGAGCCAAAGCGGGTGTGGACGGGCGCCCCCCCTCTCACGTACGACGCCGTCGATTAATCAATGGTGGGACTTGGTTTCAAGACTCCCATCGTTGTTAGCGCAAGGCGTGCGATCGACATGTAAGATTTGATAGATGATGATGATGATGATGATGATGATGATGATGATGATGATGATGATGATGATGATGATGATGATGACGACGACGACGACGACGACGACGACGACGACGACGAAGATGATGATGATGATGATGATGATGATGGTGGTGGATGATGATGATGATGATGATGATGATGATGATGATGATGATGATGATGATGATGATGATGATGATGATGATGATGATGATGATGATGATGATGATGATGATGATGATGATGATGATGATGATGATGATGATGATGATGATGATGATGATGATGATGAGGGCCAGGAGGAGAAGGGGACGACGGAGGCAAGGGCAGAAATTCCCTCTGTCAGAGCCGACCCGAGCCCGGCGGGGGCCGCCCGGAATGTCGGCGTTCGGCCCGGGGGCCGCTGGGGCCCCCCCCTCGGCGGGCGCCGCCGGGTGCCTCCGGCGGCCGACCCGAGCCCGGCGGGGGGGGCTGGGGCCCCGTTTGTCCAGCGCCGGGGCCGCCGGACCCCCCGCCGGCGGGCGCCCGGAGGCGGCCGTTTCAAAAGTGACCTAACGCTGGTTATAGGGCACTTTTGAAATTGGCCGCCCCCGGAGGCCGCCGGGTTCCCCCGGCGGCCGGCCTGCGCGCGGCGGGGGGCCGGGGGGGTCCTCCCTGGCTTCCCTCCGGCTTCCTTCTCCCCCGGGGTTGCCCGGGGACTCCTCCATCCGTCCTCCCATCTCCTTCCCCCCTCCTAAGCCGGGGGCATCCTCGCCGACCATCTCCCGGACCGACGCCTGGACCTGTACGCGAAGGTGCATCTCCCCCACCGCTATTTCCCTACCTAGGCTCTGCCTGGAAGGGTTCTTACTCGCTTGGCTTAAAGGGGCTGGGCAGTGCAAACCGCCCCAGGCGGTTCCCCCAGTCCCCTGGGAGCCAAGCAAAAGCAACAGCAAAGGTAAAAGCAAACGCGCGGTTCCCCCAGTTTCGCTCCCTGGGTTTTCAAGCAAAAGCAAAAGCAAAGGCAACAGTGAAGGCAAAAGCGAAGGCAAAGCAACATCATACCATAGCATAGCATAGCATAGCATAGCGCAGCATAGCATAGCGCAGCATAGCATAGCCTAGCCTAGCCCAGCATAGCATTGCGCAGCATAGCATAGCAGAGCAGAGCAGAGCAGAGCAGACCAGAGCAGAGCAGAACATAGCATAGCATAGCATAGCATAGCATAACGCAGCACAGCATCCACCATTGCTGCTGCTATCTATACATGTACTTATATGTGTGTGCGCACGTATGCTCCATGCATGTTGTCCGTCTGTGGGCCATCTTGAGCCCTTAGTGGGGCAGCTTGAGCCCTTAGGGTTCACGAAGGTTTCGCACATAGCACCGGCCGGGAGACATGAAACCCGACGTATGATCGCATATCTTGAATGTCTTCCTATATATATGCAAAAATATGTGTATATAGACATAACACCCTTGTGGGATGCTGCATGTGTGTGTGTGCGTGCGTGTGTGTGTGTGTGTGGCGTGGCGTCGGCGGTTCTGGCGCTACTACTACTACTACTACTACTACTACTACTACTACTACTACCACTACCACTACCACTACCACTACTACTACTACTACTACTACTACTACTACTACTACTACTACTACTACTACTATTTCTACCACTACTACCATTACTACTGCAACTACTACTACTACTACTACTACTACTACTACTACTAC